AGCAGGAAAAGTGAGTAATTATATCCTGCTATTTTTAATATGTCTGTGTTCACCCCTTGCATCTAAATTCTGAGACATACACACACAAATATATGTATGTTCAATGCAAAGGTTGAAAATGATGTGACTTACCAGTACTTCTCAGAACATCACAGCTGTGAACTAGTGTGGCTCTTGGCACCTGCAGGATAAATAGTTTATTTCCTGGGACTTATGCATTTTCATACCTGAATATCTGTGTTTCCACATATCTAAACTGAAACAAGAACAGACCTTTGATGCAGTGTAATGAGGTGCAGCTTTAAAGTGCTTTGGGATTCATCAGATTTGTCAGTGCTCTATAATTATAAGATCACCACTGTATACACATTATATAATTATGCCATTGCAAATGATTTATACTTTAGTACTTTTTTGTACTTTTTTGGCAAAATTATGTCAATGTATATATTTGTCTTGTAGGTTAAAATTGAAAGCTGTTTGAAGGCTCAGTGCTGCAAAAAATAGATAAATCTATTTATACGACATTGTAAGAAATAATTTACATTATGGTATATGGAGCTCCAATGCATAATCAAACAAAAAATCAAAATTGACTAATATCTGTTTTAATTTTTTTTCTTGATATTCTGTAACAGTAGCAAGGATTTTCCAGGGTGAATATCAATTCAGGCCAAACTCAGGCAGAGAGTTGCAACAAAATTCAAAAGTGATATGTTTTTGACTTTGTATTCTTAAAATTCTCCCATAATCATCAATGTGAATATTTGTCAGGAAAGATCCAGTCTGTTTTGCTCTGTTGTTCTCATGTGATTTTGAAAATAAGAGCTTATTTGGAAATTTGAACCTCATCTGGACCCAGTCTAACAGGTCTATGGTTTTCCTAGTTGCATACCCCAGAGGGGCTCCGAGCATAAGATTTCTCTTCGAACAATGTGATGATAACTACATCATCTAATTTACAGGCTGCTTTATACCCACTTTACCCTACTGTAAATGCGAAAATGCTGGTTAACTGAAGATGAAGACAGCGTGTCAAAGGGAGATCACTAGTGGATTTATCCACAAAGACACATAACCATCATAATGGTCATTTCATTGCATTTGAGATTTCTACTAAGTGGCAGTTGATAGTGAGATTGGCACAACTGCTTTTGTACTGAACAGTATCACCTACAGTGAAGGGCGACAAAAAATCTGTGTCCGGATGGGACGTAGTTATGAAGGAAAGAACCTTTTTTCCATGTCTCCTTTCTGTGGTCAGATGAGTAAGCTGTTTATTCTGCTATCCAATTGTTCAGTGCATTGGTTGAGGCAGTAATAGACTTAAGTAGGATTGAACATAACATTCTCTATTCCGCAGGAGTTACTTACCTAGAGGTTATTGAAAATGGTCCTACTTTTCACACCTCTGTATGTTTCAGTCAGAAAGATGGATTCTGCAACACAGATAGCACTTTCAAAGAAGTGAATGAGTGAGTATTTTGTAGGATCTCTGTGGCAGTGCTCTTGAATACATTTATTCTCTGATGTCTAAGTTCTGGATAACAATTTATTAAGGTTAGACAACATTAGATCAAAGTTTCTCTTTAATGGTGTGACACAAAGCTGATTTTGACAATCCTAGTGATTGACATGTGATTAACATATATGAATCATTCTAATTAGTGAGGTCATAGGATTGTTGACATCAGTAGACTTGGGTTTTGGTTTCATTTTTATCATCTCTGCATGAGGTTATGACTTTGTTTTCCTAATGATTGATAAAAATTGCCAAATGATGAGGGGAAAAATGCTGTAGACTGTGTGAAACAAAGTTCATATGGGATATTTTGAGAAATATTACATGCCTTCTTCTGTTTGATGAAAACATTAATGAATGCAGCCAGACATAGACTACAGACAGATATTTGCTTAAAGCCCTGGCACTGTGGGATGACACTGTAGCAGTTCTGCTGATGGAAAGAATCAAATGAATTTATATAACTCCATGCAAAGTAAGCTGAGTTAGATGACATTACCTTCAACTGTGTGATCTAATAGAGCTGAAATGTCTGCCTGTAGTTCTGAGTTTACTCACCCTAATTGTCACCAGAGAGCCTCTTTTGAATCCTTACACACTTTTGAACTTTCAGATGTCTTGGTATTGTTTTTTAATTACCAGCCAGTTGGCTGTTTCTAACCTTTTCTCTTCAATTTGGGCCTTGTCAATTAAATGCATGCAGTTTTGAATAGACCATAGACGTTTAACCATACCTAGATCATACAGATGACTTTGTGAGGGAAAATTAGAAGCACTCATTGATGCATCTCATGTGTTTTGCATCAATCTGTGGTTTACAGTTCTGATTTTTCCACTAATGGTTTTGATAATATTGTAAATTAGAAAATTTACGACCAGTGTCATGCAAAATATTGAACTCATGTACACAACCGTGCGAACTATGTAAAATAAAACACATATATGATACAAATGAATTTCTCATTTGTTAGATTTTATATGAGATTATCTTATTTTCAGTGATTACCAATTCCTAGCATTTCACAACACTAGCCCAACCCCTATAATAGCCTTATTCAAAGTCCAATGAAATCAGTGTAGGAGTCACATTGACACTCATTTTTTTTATATCAGCACTAAATAGGAAATTCTATTTTCATGTTATTTCAATAAGCCAAATTCATTTACATAAGTGTAGGAAGTCTTTAAACGTGTATCTAGAGCTAATATGAGTTTACTTTTGTAATATAGTTATACTATCATTGAAACAAAGAAAATCTAAAGTTAAAGCTGCAGTGAATGCTGTAATACTTGTCAGTTTACCTCTCAGGAATGAAACGAAGGTACTTAACATGGAAATGTGCTTAGCTTTCAAATCCTGCATATTAAACATGGCTTGTTCTTGAGTAATACTCATCTGAATTCCAAACATTCTTTTAAAAAGTGTTTTCATTGAGAGATCAAATATTTAATCAGACTTTCAAAACTGACTTGGTGTTTCGATTTCTAATGGTATTTAAGATTTTTTAGTTCTCTTAAATAATAGACTTCTACAAATTCATTGGAAAGTGAGCATGTTATATATATGTATTTAAAAGGAATCCTGAATGCTTCATTCTATTGTGGGTTATTAGGAGAATTTAACACAAACTAGACTCTCAAATAATTAGAAAAAATATTATATATAAAAAAAAAGGTTTTTTACTTTTTCAGAGTTAATATAAAAATGTAGTAAGAACTGCCATGGGATAATTTCACACTAAAAAAATCATTGGGAAAGTGTCTCCATTCAAAATGTTCCAGGTGGAGGCCAATGACAAATAGCGTCCCTCAGGGGTCTGTCCTGGAACCGATGCTGTTTAATATCTTTATCAGTGACACAGACAGTGGGATCAAGTGCACCCTCAGCAAATCTGAAGATGACACCAAGCTGAGTAGTGCAGTTGATACAACAGAAGAAAGGGATGCCATCCAAAGGGACCTGGACAAGCTTGAGCAGTGGGACCACATGAACCTAATGAAGTTCAAGGCCAAGTGCAAGGTGTTGCACCAGGGTTAGTGCAATCCCAAACATGAGCATAGACTAGGTGAACTCATTGCAAGCAGCCCTGCAAAGAGGGACTTGGGGGTTTTGGTGGAGGAAAGGCTTTGTATGAGCCATCAGTGTGTGCTTGCAGACCAAAAGGCCAGCTGCTTCCTGGGCTGCATCAACAGAGGATTGGCCAGCAAGTCAAGGAATGTGATTGTCCCCCCTCCACTCTGTCCTTGTGAGGCCCTACTTGGAATGTTGCATCCAGGTCTGGGGTCTCCAGTAGAAGAAGGAGAATTTGGACATTTTAGAATATGTCCAGTGGAGGGGCACAAAGATGGTCAAAGGGCTGGAGCACCTCGCTTATTAGGTGGAAAGAGTTTGGGTTGTTCAGTCTGCAGAATAGAAGGCTTTAGGGAAACCTCGCTGAAGTCTTTCAATACTTAGAGAGAACTTATATAAACGATGGAGAGCAAATTTCTCGACACAGGCAGATAGTGATAGGACAGGGGAGAGTGGTTATGAACTAAAAGAGAGATTTAGATTAGATTTTAGGAGGAAATTCTTCACTCAGAGGCTGGTGAAGCACTGAAGCAGGTTGCCCAGAGAAGCTGTGAATGCCCCATCCCTGAAAGCATTCAAGACCAGGTTTTGAACTAGATTTCTGAGTCATTTTGTATTGGCCTCAAAAGAAAACAACAAAACAGTCTGCACAAACTTTATGTGCATCATAGAATGAAAAAGGAAAAAAAAGAGGAAAAAAAAAAGGAAAAAAAAGTTGCTAAGCTGTTTTACATTCTTGGTTGTCTTGGACTTGGACTCTATTTTCACATGAACATACAGCAATATATAAGACAATAATCAATAATGAAAGGATTGTTATATGGTCATAGAAACTGAGTCCAAACTGTTCATTACTAAACTTCAATACATTTAAAAAGTAAAGGTAATATTTGGGTAATAATCTGGAATCCATAGAATCATTATGTAATAGTTCAAAATCAGCAAGGTTACTTTTCCTTTCAACCTAAATTTTGTTTCAAATGCAGTTGTGCTAATCGTGTTATTTGACAATATGGAATAGAATTAATTCAAAAACAGACACCATGGGCCATATCCTTCTGTTACTCTGCAGCTAAAACCTGTAGAAATTTCACTTGGAAATCTGCTTGTGGAACAATGGCACACTTTGATCTTTCACTTTTGAAGTTACTTAATATTACTTAAGGACTAAGTTTCCCTTTAGACATATCTATAGCTGCTTCTAAAGAACATCAGTCTCATATTCAAGAAACATATTTTTCTTTTGTATTTATGGTGTTTTTTTTTTGTTGTTTTTTTTTTTTTTTTTTTTTTTTTTTTAAATCTTCTAAGTCTTTTAACTTATTCTAATTGTTTTTTTTTGTTGTTGTTGTTGTTGTTGTTTTGTTTTCTCTTTTTTCTTCTCCTTTCCTTCCCCTCCCCCTTAAGCTATCTAGCAGCATTTTGGATATATATAACAGTGACCAGGGAATGACACCAGCTAATATGGGTCTCACAAATGCTTCTTGTCCAGCTAATCTACCAGTAAAAAGGGAACTCACAGGTAAAAGAACTCTCAGATTTCAGCATTTTATAATTTAAGAAGTTATGACGTTTCTCTTAAAAGTTGAACAAAAAATACTCATGAAATAAATCTCCATAATAATTAATTTCCTGAGAATTTTGCAATATGTAGTTTCATTTAAGGAAAAGAACAAAGACCATGAAGAAATGTTTTCTTTCTGTTCTCCTCTTTAGCAATTGAGAAACAATGTTTGCCCTGTGATTTTCATGAACATCATGCTTCTTATAATCCTAATTATTTTAGAAAACAGTGTATTCTTCTACATGTTGGCTCCTGATCAATGGTATAAATAAATTATCATCCATTAAATTTGTTCCAGGGTGGAACAAATGGTTCTTTTAAAATCTTACAATAAGGCTATTCAAGGTAAATCTATATTAGTGGATTAACAACTTTAAAAGTTACATTCAGTTAATCCAAAGAATGCTACCAACCATGTACAGTTTATTAGTGTTACTCAGAGGAAACACTGAGTTTGTCCAATATGAATATATTAGAAATCTGATTAACTCTTGCATTATGGGATATAAAAATCCATATTAACATTACTGTGTTGTTTTTTCCTGTTGTAAACTACAGCAAATAGGAGAAAAATACTCCTCCATAACATTTCTATATTCTTAAATAAAAAATGTGCAATAATAAATATCTTAAGTAACCTGTCAGACTTGCTCAAAAATTTAGTACTGGTAGAATGTAGATTTGCTTATGATCTTGTTTAATAATAAAAAGAGTAATAAAGTAAAATGAATAGAAGTCTTTCGAGTGTGTGTGTGTGTGTCTGTGTGAAAAGAAGCTATTTTGAAATGGTGATAGGAAAGCTGAAATCGTAACTTGAGGACTGTTGTAATAAATGTTACTTTCTGTCAGAAGCAGATACAAGAGCAATGGCCAAGGAGAGACAAAAAAAGGATAACCACAATCTCAGTAAGTATATGTTCATCTTCAATCTTGTTAAATGGAATACAGAACTAATATACATTAGCTGCCATGTCTCTGCTCATTTTCTGTGTCTTGGCAGGGTAATCAGATTGAGCTCAGTCTGTAAACACAGCCAACCACATAGCTTTTTCCTCTGAACCAAATTTGTCTTTTACTTTTTTTCTTTTAAAGTACCTTACATGTCTTTAATTTCTTCCCATATCATCTCCTGCTATTATGTTTTGAGTTTACATTTCTATACATGTCTTGCACTATTCCATTTTACTTGATGTCTTTAAGAATTACAGTGCAAAACAGACAGTAAAGGAGTAAAAAATAAAATAAAATAAAATAAAATAAAATAAAATAAAATATAATAAAATAATAAAATAAAATAAAATAAAATAAAATAAAATAAAATAAAATAAAATATAATAAAATAATAAAATAAAATAAAATAAAATAAAATAAAATAATAAAATAAAATAAAATAAAATAAAATATCAGACAACCAAACAACCAAACAACAGAACAATGATGATCCAGAATCCTCATTTACTTTCTAAAGCATCCAAGCGAGAGACCATATCTCTCTACAGTCAATTGAAAGAAAAAAAAAATAAGGAAAAAAAAAAAAAACAACACTGAAAACATCCCTCCACAACCATTTTCAGACAGTAGTTAAGCACTTAAAGCCATGAAAACTGTACGTCACAGAAGGAGATTGGGGCACAACTGGAAAAGACACAGTGCTCTGACTTCTCTGATACACATACCCTCTGACCACTGTAGGCTGGGGTAGACTTCTGTTTCCTTTGTGGACATCAGTACAGTAGTGCAATGATAGTTTCATTTTAGTTTCAAAGGAAAAGTCTTCTGTACTTGATGCTTAGAACATAGTGAAATTTATAGTTCAGTGTTTAAATCTTAAACACGTAAAAATAAACAACATTTTGGTTTATCTAGAATAAAAACATTTTTTATTGCTGAAAGAAGATTGCCTGTAACATTAGGCAATTTTTCTCTCTGAAGAGTAATTTAAAGCAAAAAACCTGAAGCATTCCCTTTGAAAAGCGTTGAATGAAACAATTGCATTTTCCATCTCTTCTTTTCATTTCTTCTAGCAGAAATAATTTGTGAATGTAAGTCTAAATTCATAATTAGTTAATAACTACTATTTTAAACTTTGTTCTCAGTTTATTCCAGTGATCTTAGGGTTATAAATTTACTTGCATGTACCTGGAAGTATATGTCCACTGGTACAACATACTGGCATCTTTCTGCTACTGATTCCAGAAGGAATCCTTGTTTCTGTTCGTATGTTTTTGTGGATCACAAACAAGCCATGTAGATTTTTGCATTTGCTAGCTCATTTTCTTGGAAGTGTCATAGTAGCTGCTGCCTGCCTTATTTGGGAAGGAATACGGAGTTTTTGCTGGACTAGGAAAGGAGGTGGGTAGGAGTTGTCCCTAGCTGTATGTATGAAGGGGAAGAAGAGGAAAGACAGGCAAGATAGGTGCATGCATACATTAGGGATGCCTCCACTGTTTTGGTTTGGTTTGTTTTTTTGGGGAGGGAGAGGAGGTCTCTGAGATCATCCTTGCTGCACACAGAAATGTCTGTGAAGTGTCCTTCACAACTGGAAAGTATGCCGAAGACTGTATGCCAGGATCATGGCAAGAAGACACATAACATCTTTTCTGGTTTGGCTCCAGGTGTATATTTCAGAGCTCAAAGTCTCTCTGGAGACAGGTCTACCGTGTGATGCCTTAGGCATATTAATGCATTACCCAATATGGTTTTGTTAGTGTTATTTACTATTTAATGGTATTGTGTTTTTTAGAGATGGTCTGAAAAGTCAGGTTTTGGAACCTGATGAGAATTATGCAAACATTCATGTTGCAGGTTGAATTAAAGTCCGTATTTTACAGAAACGTTCTTATATGTCTTACAGAAAAGCTTTCCTTTTGACATGTTAGGTTCTCAATGAAACCCTGAAAAACAATTTAGATCTAAGAAACGGAGCCACTTCTTCTAGTAATACCAAGAGTTTAAACCATTACTATTATTGTTACTATTTAAATGTTTATACTTTCTGTGTCACAATTATATACAAAAAATCCCTCTAAGTGATAAGATGTCCTTTGTGCCACTGATAAATGTGAGATTTCTGCATATACATGTATATGTAGCTGTAGAAAAACTTGTGAGGAAGAAGAGGAGAACTCTCTCTAAATTAGTCAAATGGAGGCAGAAAGGTGACAGGCCCATTGTGCACACACACTCATCTGGATACCCATACAGCACTGAAAAAGTGGACTGAGAACACAGAGATGGGAAACTAATTTTAAGAGGCTTATCTTCTCTTTTTGTCTTTCTAACTAAGCTGCAAATAAAGCAAGATACCATACATAATTTGTCTTGGAAGAATACATTTATTTATTTATTTTAATGACTTTTTCTTCATTTTGTTGAGTGTTTTGAAAGTTATTTTAAGTATGGTTGTGCTGTCCATCATCAAAGAAAACAAATATGCTGGGGATGGAGTGTTTCTGGGACACAATCTTCCTGTTTCAGTGAAGAGATGGTTGCTGCTAAGTCCTATCCATGGTTTACAATGCTGAGAGAAGTAAATAAGAGATAAAAAGCTGTTAACCATGGTCTGTAGAAGGAGTTTTGACAAAATGTGAAATATTATATGAGTTGTCCTGCATCCCTGTTGAAGTCCATATGAATGCTGAAACCCCCAATAAAAGCTGAAAACTCTTGTGTGACAGCACAGTGGATGAAGGGTGCATAAACTTCAGAAGAAATTAAGCGTAACTCACATTTAAAGAATGTGAGACTATTTCACTCTCTGAGAGTCTAGTTTTAAACTGGAGGAAACCTACATACAGGGTAGGATGCAGAGTTGATACTAATCATGGAGTTTGTCATAGGCAGGTAAGAGATCATGTTGGGATTTCTTTTTCAGGAAATTTTATGTACATTGACTGACTTGTTTTTAACTAATTATAACAACGTATGTTGACTTTCTGCAAGAATATTTCACCATAGAAATAATAACCATTTCTTTTTAACAGTTGAGAGAAGAAGAAGGTATAATATTAATTACCGAATCAAGGAGCTTGGCACACTCATCCCCAAGTCTAATGATCCGTGAGTTCAACAATCTTTCCTATAATAATGTTTATAGTTTAAATACAGGAAAAAAAAGATAGTTGCATGTAATGGCCACAGGACTGACTGATAGGATACAGAATCTTCCATGCCAGGCCACTATCTTGGATCAGGCTGTTAAGTAACAAACTTTTGACAGATTTTTGGTGCCTGTTGGGAAAAGGATAATTAAATGAAAACAATTACAGGGTGTTAAAGGCAGAGATCCACACACACAGGGTGAGTGTGTGGGGAAGAAGATAAACCAAAGACACCACAAGTATGTGTGGTGTCTCTGGAGAAGAAAGGAATATTTTCAGCCCTTGTCATGGGCCCTCTAGTGGGATAAAAAAAAATTGTGTGTCACTGTCTGCATTTTGGTTATCAAAAATAAATAAATAAAATCATGTTAAAAGATTGTAGACTGAGCATTTTTCAGAAGTCCTCCACACACTGCAGGGAAAAAATAAAGTCTTGAAATGCACAGATAAAAATAATAATTGCTATAATTGCTACAATAATTAAATTTCATACTAATGAGTATACTTATATTAACAAACACTGCACATTGCTTATACTATATCTGCCTTCCCTTAGAGCTTGTATTTATCATCAATATGAAAAAAAAAAGCCACCTCAATAGGAAAAAAACTACTGTAGGATTAGCATTAATGATTCAGTGATATATTAGGACCTTAGCCTTAGAGTTTTCATGTTACTCAGGGAAGCCTTAAGACCATGTTTGTATCTTGCATAAAATTGGTTATACAGATGTTGTCTTCATCATTTGCATTTTATTGTAGACCTGCAGGATGCTTCAAATGAAAATGTCTATCAATATTTTAGCATTTTTTTTTTTCCATCAGAATCAAGAAAAAATGTATTATATTTAAAATTTCTGTAACACTAGAAAGCTCTGTGAGACTTAGATATGTATAAGGTTGGCATAATAAGCCACTTGGAGTGAAATCACCAGAGAGAAAGTTAACATGCCACAACCATTTTAGAGTATTCACAAACTCTGCTCCACCTACAGCATCCGTCCAAGCAAGATAAAAGGGCATGTTCTTGTTATTTAAATACATTTGGGTACTACTTCTGAGTTAAAGTAAGAAGTGTTTTAAGTGCCTAAATAAAGTTTTGGCTACATGTGATCCCCTACAAACACACACTCATAAAGAGTTTTAATTTTGCTGGCATATCTTTCAGTATTCAAGACCATTTGGGCAAATAATTGAGAGATTTCTCAGAAAAACAGTGGATGGCACTGTTGGTTTGCAGGTATAAAGCAATAATGGAAGCAAGCTATACTGCAATTAGAAATGGGCATGAGGTACAAATTCCAGTTATGATTTTGATTGCCTACAGAGGTGTTTCAGTTACATGTTTTGGTCTGGATTCTGCTTTAGCTTATAAACTTATTCAAATTGTTAATACTTAGATCAATCACCTAAGCTCTGCTTAAAATGAATGCTCTGGACCTGTAATTTTGCTCCAGGAAGTGGATGATGGATTTTAGTCATAGATTTTAATGATGATGCCTTGAAAAAAAATTTCAGGAAAAAATCCTGAAGACATCACGTTTTCTTGTTTTAGTCTCCAAACCCATGATTGAGTTCAACAGTGTGACATCCCCAAAGCAGTACATGTTTACAAAAGCAAAAAGTCCATCCTGAGGTCTGAGAACTGTTGTTTTTAAAAGGCTGGTAATCAGTACTACTTTTGAAAATGTTTCTATATAAAAGCTTTCAGGTTGATCTTCGGAAAAAAAGATAAAAGAGGCATCAAAAGGTGCTGGACATATTGAAAACTTAGGCTATAACATAACTTAATGAATAATAAATTCTTTACTGAGAGGGTGGTGAGGCACTGGCACAGGTTGTCCAGAGAAGCTGGGGATGCCCCATCCCTGGAAGCGCTCTAGGCCAAGCTGGATGGGGTTTGGGGTAAACGTTCCACAGCAGGGGGCGTGGAACTAGATGATCTTTAAGGTCCCTTCCAAGCCAAACCAGTCTACGATTCTATGATTAACTTTGCTGTAGCTTAGCGGCCAGTTAAATTCATCCAAAGAATTGTAAAGAATTTTTTAATATATATTTGCAAGTTGAAATAATTCAACTTGACCACACTGTTCTGTTGGCTGGGCAGATCAAAATTTTTATTTTTCTGATATCATCATGTGTTGCCAAATCATAACTCAGAGTCCTTACCCTCTCTTTCTGTTCTTGCTTTTTCCTTCATAACACCTTACTGTGCCCCCAGTTTGCCCTGTTCTTTCAAAGAAAGAGATGTATCAGCTCTTACAATATTTTATCTGTAGCATTTTATCACACATAGCATTTTCACCTCATATATTGATTTTAAAAGATTCTTCTTATAGTAGGAACTTAGATGTAAAAGGAGAAACCTTACTGATGCTTGGACAGTGAAACAAGTCAGCCTTTGCATTGAAAAGTAAATACTGTTATATCGAAGTCCCTGTGATTAGCATGCCTGTCCCAAATGGCTTGTTTCAAGAAGATTACATTCAGGATTAGAAAATGTCATTGTTAATGCTACTTGGAAACTTTTTATGATTTATGCTTCTTAGAAGTTTGTTTTTATTTATTTATTCTGTTTCACTTTTTTTTTTTTGTTAGATGGTGAGCTTGTTTGGCTCCTGCAGAGGCTCTGCAGAAACTTTCTTTTAATAGCTTAAGCCCCTACCCTCTTTCTTTTTTTTTTTTTTTTTTTTTTTAAATAATTTAGTGACAAAAATGTGGATTATGTTACTTAAATGAATGGGTATTTATCAATTCACTTCATCAGCATTAGAAAATTGAGGTAAGTTGCAAAAAGCTTTGCCTTTGTTTAATTTTCAGTGCTTAAATAACCAAGTAATAGATGCTTCAGAAATGTAAAACACATAGAATAATTCAAAGAGAGAGTAAAAAAGACCAAAATTTACAGTCATATTTTGCTGCAAAAAAGAATAAAAAAAAATCAGAATATACATCCTTTAAATGTATATACTTTTCTGTTCTTGGTTCCTTTGTGTTTGGTCTTTCAAAATCCGGTGGTTAACAGGAATTCATATTGTAATAGAGGCTGGGAATGACAACTCAAGAATTGTTTTATGGTAACTAGACTGAAATTATCAGAAATATGAAGAAAATCATCTTACATTTATGAATTCTAGTCATTTTATCAAATTGAAGTGCTAAAAGAACCACTGAGGATTTGGGCAGAGCTAGTGAATTGCTCTCACTCACTCTGCTCTCTGCATCTGTCTTTACTTGATGTTCTGTCTGTTGTCTATGGGCAGACCCTCTAATGGCCAGCATGACAATGTTTCTTGTAAAGGAAAAGATTGTATACACTTACACTATTATAAAATGGCCAGGAGAATACACTTGGTAATTGTACAGGTCATCAAAACAGGTACAAAGTCCTTCAAAGGATTTCTTTGAACAAACAGTCTAAAGCTAATTTCTCAGAAATAGTGAAAAAAAAAATGGCCAGCAAACAGTTTCAACTTCACAAATGCATTTGTTATTATTAACTGCTCTGCAACTGGCAAACTCTGTGACTACTACCTCTTCCCAAACTCTGCTTTCATTAATTAGTTTTAATCTTAGATAATCAGATGCTCATGCCCCTCCTGCAGGAGCCCTACAACTTGTGCAAACTAGTGAAGCTCCTTTGACTTCAACAAAGATACCTTACTGGAAGCAAGCTGGTGTACAGCCTCATGGCTATGTTTCTTTTCTCCTAAATGAAGAACACTCCTAGATGAGAATTTCACTAAATTCCTGGGCTCATGAGATTTGTAGAGAGATTTAGTGGGTAAATTTAGGAGGAACTAGGGTTCACACAATATGTTTTTTACTTATTTGCTAGTTTTCCATGCAAATTATATTAAGAGTAGCAGATCTCTGTTAATTAAGCCAGGTAATATGTGTGTAGCCTGCTTAAAATTTCAAATTATTGTACCACATGTGCCAACACACAAAGACACAATCCTCCTTTGCAGAGGTCATTGCTGATGCCCAGACACACAAAACTTACTGCTCTCAACTGACTTGTTTTACAAGTAGATTTTCCCATCTGTCTCAGTATTTACAGGACAGAGTCTAACATATGTACAATAAAACGGAAGATTAAAAAAAAAAAAAAAAAAAAAAGAGGAGTTTAATAACCAGTGTCTCCAAAGACTAGTTGATCTATATCTGTATTGATAGTTATAAATGCCACTGTTTTACCTATTTTTATAAAGCACTTTCCAATTAAATGACTGGAATATACTAGTGACTGCTCACTTTTTACAGGTTCTCAGATGAACTCGTAGGTATTGTCATTATAAACTCTACCTCTGTTAGATACTACGCAGGAACAATGCATGTCCCTAAAAACAATAAACAATCTCATACTACCCCTTTTATCACTTTTCATACACCTTTATCTGCAGCCAACTTTGAATTCAGTATTTTCTGGGAAAAACAAACAAAACAAAACAAAACAACAACCAAACACAGAAAACCAATAACTATTCTGAGAATTTTCCAAATTATTTTTATGTACTTGCCTTTCTTGGATTGAATCTGTTTTTCAAAAAAAATTTTTTTTTTTTTCTTCCCATCATAAATGAATTTGCCTGCCTGCCTGCTAAACAGGGCTAGACACATTACAGTCACTTGCTAGGCAGTTCCCACTGTTTCTGTTCATCCTCTCTAGTTACACTGCTGCTCTTCCAGCCCTATACATCTCCTCTGTAGAGCCTCTGTTTCTCCAAAGTGCAATCTTGTCACTGCTGTATGGCTAGTCTTCCAGGCTAGAAAGGATGGAGAGTGTCTGTGATGCAGAACCAGTATTTCTTTTGCTCCTGGTATAAATAATGAGATACAGAGTGAAATATGAATTGACTTCTAAGGTTGCCAGACAATCCTTTGCTGTGTTGCTTCCAGACATTGGAAGATGTTGCTTGACTATCCCTCAGTTAATAAGATATCAGTGAGTATATGCATAAAGAGAAGTAGGATACATGTGTACACACATGCCCACACACATAAATAACAGATATAACAGATGCATAAATAGTAATCAGGAAGAATTCTGTTCCTGCGTCAGATTTGTTCTTGCATGCTGGCCAGCAGATGTATTGTACATCACAGTTCATTAAGCACAGACCTTCAATGGTTTAATGGAAATGGCTCAAAATCTGTTAAGTGATAACAGCAACCACAGCATTTTCATCTGATATCTCCATGATAGTTTTGCCTCTTAAATTTGTAGATATTTCTACCACAGGTATCTATAAATATATATTTCATCCAAGTTGATCAAATCCATCTCTCTGGCAATTTGAATCCAGGAATTAGCTCTTCAGTTATGACTTCTATTATGTGAAAATTTATAATAACCATATATACATGAAGATTCAAAGTATCAAGGCAACATGAACTAAAAGTAAGCAATTTCACAAATGTTGCCAGTTATGTGCAATATGAATGAATCATAATAAAAACATTTCAAATAAAGTCATAAACATATGGGTTATTCATATGTCAATCAGAAAAATTGACTGAAAAACATTTTTGTCTGAATTTGATTTTGAATCCATAATGCTTTATAATGTGAAATTGTGAGATCACTATTAAATGTTTGTTAAAGGTGTGATATATGTATATTTTTCTGCTGCTGTTAGATGTCTTAAGAATTTCAATATTGTCAGCTATAGCTTAGTAAGTAATTTTATACTACTATGTTTTCATGTTTAGATCATCAGTTCAAAATTGGCTTAGCTTGGTCTTAATTACATACTTGGAGGAATTGATCCCTAGTGCCTAGTCAGATTTTGCTTCTCCAGAGTTTATAATATAAGTTTTTGTACTGTTGCATTTTTCAAAGTTGCTATGAATAGATGACAGTGGAGATTTTCATCTTGAAAAGTTGTTTTCCTCCTATCTTTAGCTCTTCCTATTTATTCAGAAGTTCTTTGGTGTAGAGAGACAGGCACTTTCCAGCCTTTCAAACTACACAAGTCAGGCTTAAATAGAGAGGTATTTAAGAAGTCATCATTTTACCTAACTTTCCAGAGAGGTCTGAAAACAAACAAACAAAAAACCCACCAAGATTTTAATGGGGTGATGGTATTCAAATGTTTGTTCAGAAACATAAGCATCAGATGTACCAAAACCTTCCATAACCTTTGCAGTTTGAACATAGACATCCCACATATGAGGAGAAAGTCCACTCGCAGGAGGAAGGCCACAGGATGCTGTCAGGAAACATGTTCTGCTCTCCCATAGGCATGAAGGACAGCAAGAAGAAGGAGGGCAGAAGGACTGTCAAGGCTCAGCTTTTACAAGGAACACAGGCTCTTCTGTTGGCTCCTGCTCCCACCGCTGCCTAATTTTCCATCCAGAGATAGTCTAAATGAAAATGCATACCCACTTCAGAGAGCAGTCTGTGAGGTTTTGTCTTTGAAGACAGCCTGGAATGAGGCAATAACCATTTTCTCTCTGACTTCCCCAGTTTCTAAAGTTGTGTATTCCTGGCCCACATAGCTGAGAGGAGTTTGCTGGAGGCCCATGGTTTGTCTGCTGCCTGGAGAGAAAGGAGATGTGAATTCCATCCTTCTCTGACCATAAGGCTAGTTCTCCCAAATCCCTAGCAAATGATCTAAATTCTAGGGCATGGTTAAACGCTGTGATGCTCTATCACAAATCATTTTAATTACTTTTCTGAGCATCTTTAAAGCTATGAGCTCCATAAGCATTTATCATTCAACTGGATCCCCAGATCCTGTACCTGCCTAGCATTTGCCCTATACATTCAGGAGAAAGACAACAGTCTTGGTGGAGATCAATGCTGCTTACCTTTGGGATAAGAGTGCAAGGTTCCTTAGGTATTTACTCTAGGAAACTGAATGTAAAACATCAACACTTCTAAAAGAAACAAATCCACTCCAGATCACATGCATGTGAGTAGAGTCAGGGCTCCTTAACTAAAGCAAGCAAGAAATAATGGAAAGTGGTAATAGATGAGAGTATAATATATATCTATTTTTTTACTCTATAAATGCCAGGGTATAAGTATATGCACTTGGGACAGATGCACTTGGGACAGATACTTAACAACAACACACTAATTTGGTTACTTCTCATTCCCAACCTCAGATTCTTACTGGTTTAAACAAGTTTTTCCCTCTTGGGCTTGGTTTATAAGACCAGAATGGCTGTCTGTCTTCTGCTCAGTTTAAGCCATCTTGCAGTGAAGTGGGTAATTTGGATAAACTCTTCTATATGAATATTAATGCAGCACTGCCCACCCCTGTATTACACAATACCAAATTTTATCAGAAATTCAACATTTTCAAGAGAAAATTATTTCTGTTCCAAGGCCTCTAAGACCTTGCATAAAGGAGTATATGGAAAGTTAACAAATGGATGTATGAAAGTCCTTGAACTCATGCTAAGTTTGAACAAGTGTATTGTTAATAAGACTGCTTGTAAGCTGGTAGCTAAACCATGAATTTCTGAATGAGGGAAGGGTTTAATCTTATTTTTGGGGGGCAAGAGTTTTACTTTAAATTCATGTCTCTATGTAGCTGTGGACTTCAACCTGGTTTATATTGTTTCAAGCTTGTTGAATGGGCTTAAGCAAGAATTTTTGTCATACCATTTTGGTTACCAAACCATGATTTGTCTGTCGTCAGTGATGAGTGGCATTCAACGTAGAACATTTTTTCCTCAACAAGCATAAAAGCAACCTCATTAGTAAGTCAGGTAAAAGGAGTAGTATATTTGAAATGATCTTTAAAAATTTAGTCTTAAGTCCTCAGTAATGTATATTTCCTAGTTCATTAATGCAGAACTACTGCACATAGATTTTAATCTTAGAGTTAATAATAAAAGCAATTTTCACTAAAAATATAAAAACTGTAATGGTAGAATCATGATATTGCATTTAGCTCTCCCACAAAAAGTCACTTTATTACTTTCTTTTGACACTTATTTTCATTCTGGGATTAATTTTACTATATAAGGGCTTCTTAACTATTCTATTAAAATTTCCATTCAGAAGCAATAATATCTAAGAGTGAATAATAGTCATGTAAATCATTATTTCATATTAATGTAAAAGATTTTGTAAGTTCTTATGAATTCTGCTGACATGCACAATTGTGAAAAGGTTATCTCTACATTCTGCAGTGATATGCGCTGGAACAAAGGAACTATTTTAAAAGCATCAGTGGAGTACATCAAGTGGCTACAAAAAGAACAACAGAGAGCCAGAGAATTAGAACACAGACAGAAGAAATTAGAGCACGCTAACAGAAGACTTCTGCTTCGAATTCAGGTTTGTATGAGTGTGTTGCCATGAACTACAAAGCTTTCTCAGTACTTATCCCTCATCAAATTCTATTAATCTATATCATTTTTCCCAAATGTCACTACCAAAAATGAATTGTTTTTCCCTGCTTATTGCTGTGTATATTGGGGATGAGGTATTTATTTTTTCAGATTTCTAGGAAATTCCTTTCCTAATTAAACTTTACATAAAGGAATACGGTGAAAATTAATAAAGTATTTGTACCAATGGTTAACTTATGTATATATTATAGCCTGAGAAGGACAAAACAGGAAGGAAAAGGTACATTTCACCTGCCAGAAGTCAATACTGAACACAAAATTTCTTTCTGTGTTTTCATTTCCCTTTGTAACCATTTCAAACTTTGCAGTTCTTTGGGCATAGGGTGCCATACTACGTCTGCTCCTGACACAAAGCAACAGAGTATGAATATTTACACATGCAATGGTGACATAGATAGACAAATATAAAATTAATCATCTTAAATATTGTAATTTACATATATATCAGTAAATTAGCATCATAAAGTATCTTTTGTTTCTCTGGATAGCAATGAATAACAGACCAAAAAGTTGCAATACTTTTCTTTCAACTTTATTAGATCCACAAGGCAATGCTTTCAGTAAAGCTTTCCCAATTCTAATGTTCCCTGCTGCTTCATGACAGCAGTGGAATTAAAAAGAAAACTATCTGTGGAAGTACAGTGGCAAATTTTCCTAGATTAACAATTTTGTATTTTAACATAGTCTCACAACTAGACAAGAGGTATAACTAATATGCATGTATGATCTGCATGCTTGTTGCAATAGTTCTGAAGACATATATCTTCGAAAATCATTATCTAATTTTTATTTTTGTTTTTTAAACATTAGGAACTAGAGATTCAGGCACGTGCTCATGGCCTTCCAGTCATATCTTCACTCAGTGCTGTAGATTTAGCTGCGCAGGTCATCAAGCAACAGTCATATCCAGAGGAGAACTCTGTAGACTACTCTCAACAAATGCCTTTGGCACACGGACAAAATTCTGATGTTTGTGATGGATCTACAGCCTTTTCTGATCCACTTTCACACTTTACCGATTTGTCCTTCAGTGCAGGCTTTAAAAGAAGAGCAACGACTAGAGGAAATTTTACTGGATGACACTGTATCACCATTTGGAGCAGACCCACTCTTGTCTTCCACATCCCCAGCTGCATCAAAAGAGAGCAGCAGGAGAAGCAGCTTTAGCACAGACGACGGAGATGATTTATAAAAGCAGAAAGGGCCTCACACTTCCTTAAACCACTTTCTAAAAGACTTAGTTGAGCATAAGCATGGTGTTTGTGCTTGTTTCAAATACAAATATGGAGAACCACTGTGAAGATAACAGGTAAGAGTTTAAATCAGTCCTTACTTCACAGGAAAATGAGAAGGACATGAACTCATATCACTTTGCCCCAAATTCACACCATCTATTCACAGCTGACATTTGCACAAATCTTTCTTCACTGGAAATGTTTTGATAATTGTTCTATGACTTTTTACAGCACTATGAATATGGTTACGACAAAAGGAATATCCTTGTTACACAAATGTATTCAGACTCTCTTCGATCCATACTTACATTTATCTGTTATAAAAACGAATTTGTTATTTTTTTTCATAACTAAAATGAGAATTTTGTATTAAAAATTCTACAAAGCATGAGAAACAATAGGGAAATATTTAAACTGGGAACTGTAGAAATATTACAGGTTCTAAAAACTGAAAAAAACATGGTAACGCAAGTGAAGTGAACATGAATATAAAACTGCATAACTTGTTTTTAAAATGAGAAAATCCATTAAGTTTTTCATGCAATCCTGTTTTTTTTATATATATATATATAATTTCATTTGTAGAAAGAGATCATACTTTTAATATATATTTTAATGATACAGATGAAAATCAGAAACTAACGTAATGACAGAAACTCAAAGGAACTCAGAGAAAAAGATATGACATTTCAGCAGAAAGTATTCAGAAAGACTGTATGGACGTACAAGACTGAACAAAGATAATTCATGTTAAAATTAGCACAATTTAAAACAAGCACTGCTGGTAACAGTGCTGTATCAGGTGTTTATTCCAAGAGTATTCAAGCTGCGTCCTTTCTGTGGAAGGGACCAGAGTATTTACACATGCCAGTGTGCTTCTGGACAGTCCTTTCAGTGTCCTTGGACAGCACACTAAGGTTTTGCTAAAGGGACTCTATCTTATCCATACCCAAGCTTTGATCCATTTGGAAATGGAGGAAGATGAACAGAGTCCCAGTAAACATATTGAAACAAGGAGAATTTAATTTCAAATTTGCAGAAAAGACAGGAAGACTTTAAACCAAATGGGATATTCAGAAGTGTTGATGTGATTTCCATAACTTGCATACTAGGAGTGGGCACTCACAACACATGTTTTGATGACTCATTAAATGCATATCATTTCTATACACAGTGAAATTCTGGAGGGTGATGTATGTTCCTGCAGTACATGAAGTGCAATCATTCTTACTGTAACATTAGTATGTGGGAAATAAACTGGCATAAGTTCTTCATAGCTCTTCCTCAACCAAGGCCAAAAGAACACACCTGGGAGTCCTCTAATTCCAAATATATTTCTAATGTATGTATTAAGTACTGGTGTCACTGAGCCCTGCTTCATTCTTCAGAAATGTCACATGATCAGGAACAGAGATGAAAATGGATTTCTATTCGTGTGAATGGTTTAAATGTATTTAAACATTATCCAAGAACAGAGCATTTGTTTCCTCCTATTGCCTACTGGTACCTGGGTCTTCCTAATAGTCCTCATGAGGTCTGTATTCATCCAGGGCCATAGCACATTCCTGACTGACCCTGTAATATCATAATAGTTTTTTTAATTGGAAAGTTAGCAGTGAAATAACAAATTACATCTAGATGTCTATGAAAGATAATGGAATATCCAACCTCATGAGAATATTTATGTTTTTAGGAACCTTGATGATTTCTGTGAGCCTATGCAAACTGCTTGGATATAAGTTGAGGATAGCAGAATTGATATTTTTGTCACATATGTATGAGTTCCCAGATAGCCCAACACAAACCTAACCCTTCTTAGAGGCTCTGATATGCTTCCACTGTATGGTTAAAAATTAATCAAAACAACAAATTCATTTTTATTTATTTTTTTTTAACATGGAGGAAAGGAACGGAAAAACAAATGAACAAAATTAACAAAAGGTAAAAACAAATAAACAAAAGGCAATTGAACATAGAACTGATGAGCGTTTTAATTGGAGTGCTTCTATAAATTCGGCTCAATAGATCTCACTTTGTCATAGTTTTGCCAAAGACTAGCTAATATTGACATTCAAATAAAGAATACGATGAATTGGAAGTAACATTTATTCCCACTTTATGTCTAGTGTAGGATATGTACAGTCCACATCAGCTGATGAAAGGAGGAGATACTTGGTTGACATCAAACACCATTTGTCCTTGTACTGCAGTTTCTACTACATTGGTTTTAAATACACCAGTGTGGATTGCTCATAATGGAGAAAAAGAAATTAAATATGAATGTATAACATGATTTTCCCATTGAACTTTTGCATTGGAGTTAGGCCACTCTTTTGAACTACATGTATATTGACTTTAAATAACATCCTGAGTTTCATCACTTTTATAAGCACTGTTCTAAAAAACATTATAGTGCATCCATTAATTTTTTTTTAAAGTTGATCTTCATTCTTCTGACAATTGCTTCAGTCTAAAGCACCAGATTTTTTTATTTTTTTTTCTCTTCCTGCTTGAGAAATCTAACAGGAGATTGGAAATGCTCCTTTTGCAATATACTGTACTGCATCTATCATTAAGCATATTCAAGCTGTCTTCATTCACACATGACCCCCAGTACCCCTACCCAAAACACTAAATGTATCTGTACCTGTGGGTTTGTATTATGGTGATGTTGTTTCACTACCATTACTTTTTTTTTTTTAGTAAGAAGTCATCATAATTAGTGTTTTCACTAATAACAATAACCTGTATTACACATCACTGTTGAAATTAAATGGTGATACAGGGCACCAGAAATGATAAGCTAGCACACCACATAGGTGGTGCTGAAGGTATTTAGAAGTTTCTGCTGGTATCTGTATCCCAGACTTTTTGGAATAAGTAGTTGGTCTCCCACCTCAGTTTGGTGAGATTGCTGTGAAGCTGGGGGGGCTTTTGGAGCAGAGCAGAGCACAGTGCCTTCTGGCTTGGACAGAGGAAAGGGACTGCATGACTACAGGGACAAATCCTGGCATCCTTCCTCACGCAGAATTTCTTTCCTATGCAGGGGAGTTTTACTCAACTAAAATGTGGTGCATGCAAAACACAATTTGTGCTCTTTCCTATACAGATCTATCTAATGAAATCTCTCAAAAAAAGATGCATAATTTGTCTGTGGTTCTAGGTCTAGAAAAGAATTTAAAGATGTACAGAGTTTGACCTCAATCAGGGCACAGATGAGAAGAACTGGCTATTTTTGTCAAAATATATTAAATGAGGAATTCTTGCTTGTTTTCAGTAGCAGCTGTTCAAAGCTGGTGGACATGTTCTTACAGAATACACAAACCAGCAGACTGATAATTATACAAAAGGAAAGGGAGCTGAAATATTAACATCCTGTTTAATTCATGAAATGGATATAGATACTATACTAAGAACAGAAATATAAATTATTTTACACTGTGCATAGCACAGATAGTGTGAAAAGCTACAGTAAGTGCAAACAGTTTTAACAAACAGAATACAGTTGTTTTATATAGTAAAATAACTAAATATAATTCAGTCATTTAATCTTAATAAGAACACTGCTATTGTAATACCTTTTGACTTTAATAGGGCTGTATATATGAATGGAGGATGTAAAATTATTGTAATTTAAAATTATGTTAAGTCTCTTAGATAAGTAAAGGCATTTACATTACTATTATGAGACTGTAGAATATTTTTATAATAATTGCTATTTTTCATTGTTAACCATATAGTATCTTGTTTTCTAAGTCAATGTATGCAGACAGAATGTACTTTATTACACACTGTATATGCAGTCTTTTTGAAATTACATTTTATACATGCTGGTATTTTACGTTTCTTATATGAATACAATTAAAGGACTGAAATTAAAACACTTCTTTATATGTCTCTTGTGAAACTTCACTATCCAGTCCCACAAAGAATGCCATCACAAGACAATATAATAACATCCGCTAAGAGCATCTGAGATACCTAACAGACAAAACACTTCACAACTGCTAAACATTTAGTCCATTATGATACATCATGATCCAGTAGCCTTCCATTAATAAAAATAATTGATACATTCTTTAATATGGTCTCCTGCCATCTGCTTATTCCTGCTGCTAAGGCTTTGATTTATGGAAAGTGTTTTCAGAATGTTGCAAAATTGCTAGCAGGCATGATGATATCAGTTAAATCACTAAGAAGCTCTACAAAAACCTTTTAATGTACTAGATGTTCCCCAGACAATTTAGGATAAACAGAATATTGTATTTTAAGATGTAAAACATTTTTTTAAAGCTGATAATTAGGTAGCATTTTGTCACTAAAAGATATTCTTGCTTAATAAATTAAGTAAGGATTTGGGTTGCATTTTGAATTCCTAATATAAAAAATGCTGCTTTCTTTAGAATATATTTGGTGCTTTCTGTTCATGACATGATGTAAAAATTGTTAAGTAGTGATATATATTTCAGCTATAGTTTTGTAATAGTTCATTTGTTTCACGTAAAATAGTGCTCATTGTTTGTGTATATCAGATAAACATTTTATTTGTACTAAAGATTCTCTCCAGACTCTTTATTTCATCAAATCATTAAGACATCCCTATCAGTATTAAAAGAGAACAATATTATAAATATTATTTAAAGTTCAGTGATTAGTCATGGAAGGATGCTTTGGTTTTTTACTTATTGTGCACTTAGGATTTGATCATAAAAGGTACTCGGTTCCTTTGTGAGGAACTGAGAGCCCTCGGTTCACTTTGAAGAAAGGCAATGCCCAGCCTGTTGCAGAACCAGGTTCTTAATGAGTAAATAAACAGCATCAGAAAATAAAAGTTATGTCATAGCTTAGAAAAGCACTATATGATACATTGCTTGATTAAAAGTAATGATATTTGCAATTGAGAGGCAAACAGATTTGATGCCAGCATCATTTGTGCTGACAACCAATGTGAGATTAGAGGAAAATGTATGAAGTTGTGATAATTATCAGACCAGAAGTCTAATTATAAAGGAAGCTATGGTAGTGAAGTATGATAAGGCTTATTGGTTAAATCACTGGTACCCATCAAGTTAAATATATATCAGTTTCATTAATTGGCAACCACAAGACAAGTGCTCTATATTCAGGGTGGTGATGATTTTGATATAATCCACCACATTGTGGTTAAGTATATGATTCATGTAATAAGAAAAAGGTGCCTCCAGGCTATTGTTCCTAGCATGGATTAAAATTTACATATTGCTTCTCCTTATGTCAAAACATCTGGTGCCTGCAAATGCTAACATTTCGTTAAAAAGTTTCACAAGATAGGAAAAGTGGATTGGAAATATTGCATGTGAATCATTCAAGCATTATAATGGAATAAGAGGCTGAGTTATGAACAGGCAGATTGAACAATAGTACAGTCAAAGAGATTCATATGCTTATGAGTTTGATAGACAACACTTTGTGTAAGAAGGGGAAATGCCCCAAATTGTAAGAAATAACCTTTATATATATATATATATATATAAAGTCATTGAAATACATCTTCTTGGTTCCTTTCCAAACTGTATTATATATATATATATATTTATTTATTTATTTATTTTAATAAAATTCATGTACCTAAGTGGATGTACTTAGCGCTAAGATGATGGCTAATACATTCATCTCATTCATGCACTTGAGTACGTTGGCATTCATTTTCTTATTTGCCATGTAGTTTCATCAGGAAATTGCATGACTTACTTTTGCTCTTCTATCTATAAATACATATTACAACAGTACATCAGAGTATATATAGCAGGGTACATACATCTAAAAAGATTTGGATGACCAGTTATCCTAATGATAACTCCTTGAAAAACCTACCAATTCTTGCATTAGCACCTAGACTTAAGATCTTTTTCCTATTGATGGGACTTCAGGTGTTAATTTTCACTTAAAAAAAAAAGCTGGTGTTAGGTTATTTGGAAATCCCCATCACAAATTGCTGCAATTAGCAGAGGCATGCTAATTAGAGGAAGTTGGAAACTTCCCTCAGTGTGAAAGAAGGCAATAAATAGAATATTTTCCATGATTTTTTCCAGAATATATTCCCCTGCTGATACCTCAGGAATATCTCAAGAGTGTGTGTCTGTGCAATGCAGATGGTGGTGACAGCAACAGCTCTTTTCTACAACCAGTCCCACTCTGGGCACAGCCATCTCCATTCTTCAAGGAAGATACCTCTCCCCACATTCTTTTTCCACCTGAATTTCCTCCTCTGAGCTGGAACAGCTCTCTTAATCATCCTGCCTCAAATTCAGATGGTGGTCTGAACAAGAGGGAGGCAAAAGTCTGGTGTAGGTCAAGAGCTCTTTCTTCTACAAACCTTGTGAGAACATCAACTTTGTGATGGTGGTGAATCTTCTTGTTTGCCTGTTTTTCATCATTATACCTAAACATATTTTTGTACATTCTATTTATTTTCAGTGGTTTTACCTTCAGTGACCACATGATTCCAGATTATTTAAGTTTAATATACAGAATGTGGAAAAATCTTGTAGCTAAATATTTCACACTGTGTCCCAGGAACAGACTATGCTAAAGCAGATGTGTCTCTTGAAAACATATGACAATAATATCAAAAATTCTGAATATGATGGCTTTTTATCAGTTAGTTGATCCATGTCATGGGCACCTTTTCTTATTATTAGAGGGATGAACCTCACCAAGAAAAAGTCCTGCATCACCACAGAGCCATTAGGAAAGAAAAGCAAATACCTGGAGTTGTTGCAGAAATACCATTCCATCATTTCCATTGGAAAACACTTCCTACTATAGGACAGCTAATATACACAACCAGCTTGCTATAAAAACAAACCAACACAAAGCAATTTAGCCTTACTGTGAGATGAAGTAATCATGGTCAAGTG